GACCCAAATATTTTTACAGTGTAATTTCATCCCCCTACTTGCTATTTGAGGCATAAAACATGGAGAAATAAATTTGGAAGGGGTATAAAAAAAAATGGCAAGTAACACACTGTCCACACTAGGGACTATATTTGTGGACAACGAAAATCAAAGGACGATAACTGTGTACTCGGACCTTGTGTTTATCTTTTGAAACAAAAACGTTAGGTATGTCTATCCAAAGGATAAAAATGTCCAAACAACCGAAATTTTGAGTAAATGTCTAAAATTTCGACCCCAATTATCTCTTAAAGCAGCACATGAAGGTATATTTTTTATTACATATTTGAATTGCTTATGTGAAAAATAGCTTGTAAGCAAATTTTCGTCAAAAATTCATCGTGGGATCGAAACTGTATCGTATGCCTTTAAATCAAGGGGATTCATCAGAGATAAGAGGTATATAATTACAACTCTTGTTAGACTATTTATTTTGAAATTGTAAGAATAAAGTATATATTATTATTAGTGATTACAACCTAGATGTAGAAAAGGGTCGGTATTTCTTAAAGTTCATTGAGAATACAGACTTACACATGCATGTCGAACATTTCCTATTAAACTGCAATATAGATAAAACTCTATGTAAATATTTATTGAATAAGTCTTGTCGTCAACATGAATGGGAGTAACTTCCTAAAGACCAAACATTGATAAATTATTAAACCCTGTATCAAATAAAATTGAGAATGGAAATGGGGAATATGTCAAAGAGACAACAACCCGACCAAAGAGCAGACAACAGCCGACGGCCACCAATGGGTCTTCAACGCAGCGAGAAAATCCCGCACCCGGAGGTGGTCCTCAGCTGGCCCCTAAATAAAATTGTGTACTAGTTCAGTAAAATGGACGTCACACTAAACTCCAAAACTGGAATGAGTGTCGTAATATCATCCACGACTCACTCCATACTTACTGTTTGAAATGGATAAAACGGGAAAAAGCTGTCAAAAAATCTTTGGACTCTTTTTTTAATTCAGTAATGAACATAGTTGATATACGTATTCAACATTTTAAAGAACATTTTACTCTTAACAATAACCACAATAAACCTATTTCTCGTATCAAACATAAACTAAAAGAACTAGCCAAGGAATTTGTTTTTGTCCCGGCCGATAAAGCTGCTAATAATATTATTATTGTTTGACGTAAATTTTACATTGAGGTTCTGAAAAAAGAAATCACCAATTCACCAACATTCCAACTGACTCCATTTTCAGAAAACAACATCTGTAACAAACATAAACTTTTAGCTACCGCTTTACAAGCAGAACCAAATACAATGAAAGTCCCAACTATGTATTGGCTTCCGAAGCTACACAAAACACCTTACAAATATAGATTCATTTCGTCTTCGAGCCATTGTTCCACTACTAAATTGTCTATTCTTCTTACCAGTACACTTGGTACAATCAAAAACCTGATAATAAATTGTTCAAATAAGGCCTTCGAAAATAGTGGAATTAATTACTTTTGGAGTGTCAAGAACTCGTTGGAAGTACTTGATAAATTACATGCATATATTGGTGATTTTGAATCTGTTCAAAGTTTTGATTTTTCTACCCTATATACCACTTTGCCTCACATTCTCATTAAGAAAAAATTCACACACCTAATTAAATGGGCATTTAAAAAGTCAGAATGTGAATATATATGTTCAAACTCTTTTAGGTCATTTTTTAGTAGCAATAAACAAAAAAAACTATGTCAATTGGACATGCTTTGATACTATATATGCCCCTGAATTTTTACTAGATAACATTTTTGTTCGCTTTGGAGATTCCGTATATCGTCAGGTTATCGGAATTCCAATGGGGACTAACTGTGCACCACTTATTGCGGACCCTTTTTTTTGTATTGCTATGAGTTACAATTTATGACAAAAATCAGCAAAGACCCATCGAAACAACATCTGATACACAAATTTAATAATACTTTTAGATATTTGGATGATATTTTGGCTCTCAATAATGACGACTTCAGTATGTATACTAAAGAAATTTATCCTGTTGAACTTACTTTAAATAAAGCTAATACTAACAATGACCACTGCCCTTTCCTCGATCTTGATATCTATATCATTAATGGAAAACTTAATACTAAAATATATGATAAAAGAGATGATTTTTCATTTCCTATCGTTAATTATCCATTTTTAGATGGTGACGTTCCCTTGTCACCATCTTACGGTGTTTATATATCTCAACTTGTACGATTCGCTCGTGTATGTAACAATGTTTTAGATTTTAACGAGAGAAATTTATGTATTACTGAAAAATTATTACACCAGGGTTTTCGATATCACAAACTAGTCAAAACATTTACTAAATTTTAGGACATCATTCGTAAATATAGCTCAACATGCAGACTTCTTATACGTTCAGGTATTTCACATCCAATTTTTTATGGAAATATTCTTTATAAAGCACAAAAATGTCAGTATTCACCTCTGAAGCTAACAAAACCTTTAAATAGACTTATTAAGAAGGGATATAGTTACGATACTGTTGTCAGGTCATTAAAGATTGCATATTTTGGCGTTAATATTGATTCACTTATAGGGTCTTTGCATCGGCACTAAACACATTTATTTGAAAACCAGTTGTTGGCATGACATGGGTTATGTTCTTCTCATATATGTTATGATGGTATGATACTAATCCCCTAACGGGAAGGATTGTGCCTGATATTCATATGATGAAGACATAATCTTTCAATTAGTTTAATTGAAGTCTGGAGCTGGCATGTCAGTTAACTGCTAGTAGTCTGTTGTTATTTATGTATTATTGTCATTTTGTTTATTTTCTTTGGTTACATCTTCTGACATCAGACTCGGACTTCTCTTGAACTGAATTTTAATGTGCGTATTGTTATGCGTTTACTTTTCTACATTGACTAGAGGTATAGGGGGAGGGTTGAGATCTCATAAACATGTTTAACCCCGCCGCATTTTTGCGCCTGTCCCAAGTCAGGAGCCTCTAGCCTTTGTTAGTCTTGTATTACTTTTAATTTTAGTTTCTTGTGTACAATTTGGAGTTTAGTATGGCGATCATTATCACTGAACTATTTTATATATATTTGTTTAGGGGCCAGCTGAAGGACGCCTCCGGGTGCGGGAATTTCTCGCTGCATTGAAGACCTGTTGGTGACCTTCTGCTGTTGTCTGTTCTATGGTCGGGTTTTTGTCTCTTTGACACATTCCCCATTTCCATTCTCAATTTTAAAATTAAAAAATATACAAGACTAACAAAGGCCAGAGGCTCCTGATTTGGGACAGGCGCAAAAATGCAGCGGGGTTAAACATGTTTTGTGAGATCTCAACCCTCCCCCTATACCTCTAGCCAATGTAGAATAAAGAAACACATAGCAATACGCACAGTAAAACTCAGTTTAAAAGAAGTCCGAGTCCGATGTCAGAATAGGTAACAAAAGAAACTAAGCAAAATGACAATGATACATAAATTAACAACGGACTACTAGCAGTTACTGACAGCTTCCGGCCTCAATTCAACTGATTGAAAGTAAACACATTTCAAACTCCCTCAGCGAACGTTCCTACGTGTTGCTACATCCCAGGATTCCAAATGTTTTGGTTTGAGCGTTCCTGAGGAGTGTAAATACAAGCAAGCGCTTCGGACGAACGACATTTCTACGTAGTATTTTTATTTGCTATCCATAGGTCAATACCACAGCTGGTCTCCGATGATACCAGCACCTCAGTAGTCAGTGTTTCGGTGCTGATATGATTTAACCATACCGTTTTTTAAAATTCCCCGTTGATAAATAAAGACATTATTTAGACACTAAGGTTCCATTCGCCCAGGCACGATGAGTTTGTCTATTCTTTTTATGTCCCTGTTTGATCATATAGTTTCTAACGTTTCTACGAATTTTACATTCTGTCATCACAATCGTTTTGATTTGAGTGCATCTGAAGGTAAATAATAAAAGCGCTTCTGACACACGACATTTTAAAAGGGTTATTTTCATTTTTAAACTCATCGGCTCCTTTTTTGAAGCAGTCATTATAACTGAGGAGTAGAAGCAGCTTGATGTAAATGTTCATGTACACGCCTTACTGTAACGATGTATATTTGCTTTTTGTTCTATTGATGATTTCTAGCATACATTTTAATTGTAAAAATGTTAATAAAGATCTTTGAATTTGTAGTATGCTGCTTATTTATTTGTACTTTCATCAACACTAGAATGGATACAATATAACTTTGTATATTATATGCAAAGGAAAGCCAGGATTCTGCTCTTATAGAACTCCTTTAACCGAATTCATATGTGTAATACCATGTTTCTCGGAGATTATTCATTTGAAACAACATGTGTTTAAATACAGTTTCTGATTTGAACTGAGGTTAATGTAATTAAAGTAATCTGTAGTTAAGCAATATTAGTTTTAATATAAACATTTGTTTCAAATTTAGGCTTAAATTGTGAATTAATTGACCAGTTGCTCACATATAGTAACTGTTCACGCTTATTTGAGTTTAAGATGTAACAGCTGACATTTGATTATGTATCTTTATACCAAACATATAATATTAAAAATGTGCAGTTTAGTTTGTTCACTACTACTGCTGCGGTTCTGCTATTGATGAACTATCAATGTCCAAATGCACTCACTGTCCTGCAGCTAGTGCTTTATAAATTTTGTCTCTAAATTTCCGATTTGCGAATAATGTACTTGTGCGTAAACTAAGGTTAACTTTGTTGACTTTATAAAATATTAGCTGTAGTCATGTTTTTGCATAAAACTAATTTAATATCAATTCCATCAGGCTATGTTGAATTTGGACAGTTGTAGTTCTGTTTTCGAATAGGACATTATTTACTACACCGTTAGTAGGTGAAAACATACACACACAAAAACGTGCATTAAACATAATTTATTTCTTAACTATTATGCCTGAACTAAACTATACCTTTTACAATATATATGTGGGTTTTTAAACGACACATTCTCTGTAAACATTAGAGAAATTCAAACATAAAAAGAATCCACTTCAACTTGCTCTCACTAACTCAAAAACGAAAGGTGGTCATTGGCCCCTTTTTTCATTGATATTATATTATAATGTCTGACATCCATATTTATACCAAACTAGGACGCCCTTCTTTGCCTGTTGTTGATTTTCTTTTGATGGAGGAATTCCGTTGCCTCTTTAACAGTGCTCTTCAACTTCGTACTTTATTTATGCCTATCTAACTTTTTTGATTCGAGCGTCACTAATGAGTCTTCTGTAGACGAAATTCGAATCTACTAATTTTGTTTTCAAATATTTCAAGTGAGGACATTAAAACTAAAGTCAATGTTGCTATAGAAAGTATGTGTTATCACGCTGGTCGTTTACAATTTCTTTATCATTAGTTTTGTTGATTTTAGAGAATAGTAATATCCTTTCCACTTTTTCCATATGACTCCATCAGCATAAGAGCCCATTCCCCCTGATAAGTACGCCCCGTTTAGATTTGAAAGGTGACAGTTCTGGTACCACCATGCTCCTTTAAAATTAACTGCACAACTGGTAGGATATTTGTCATTATCTCTGTCGTGTGTAGAAAACATATTTCCTGTATGGTATGACAGACTGTCTCCTAAATAAAATTAAATAAAAAATAAATGAAAAATATATAAATAAAATAATTATAAAAAGGTAGTTATTAATTATTTTCTGTAGCAATTTGACCAAGAAATTTCATGTCACTTTCTCAGAACGGATTTCTAGGAAATTTCGTTTAGTATAGATGTCATGTACCAATCAACTATGACGGAAACGCTAATTTACGTCAATGTTTTTAAAATTAATTGTGTCCATTTTCCCTAGCATCTATAACTATTTAAAAGTTATTAGGTCAATAACCTAACATTAATCATACAATTCTTGATATATCTGAATAGCCATATAGTTATTTGTGGATAAAATGCATATATAGAAATAAGAAGATGTGGTATGATTGCCAATGAGACAACTCTCCGCCAGAGATCAAGTGATGTAGATGTAAATAACTATAGGTCACCGTGTAAGTAAACACCAAACAATTTGTTTCATGAAAGTTTTCGTTATTACATTATTTAATATCTATTAAGTATAGATATGAGCTTTCATACAATGAGTTTTCCTAGAAAATATCGATGGAGCTTGCCTTCAGAATGAAAAAAATGACTCCGTATCATCAGGTGAATAAGGAAAAACATCGCAAGGTTTAATTATTCTAATTGTTTATGATACAACTGCCAAACATATATCATGATTTACATCAAATTGCTATTTCGTTACTGTCTGTTTCATTGCGTAAGAAAGAAGACGAATATATTAAGTAGAATCTTTCAACGAAAACTGACACGTCAGCAAAGACTCCTTAAATGGAAGACTAATAATATATATGAATACCTAGTTACTTTGCAATTAGAATAACTTCATAAGAAAATAATATAAGGATGAAAATATGACGATTAACAATTTTGTAATATTTGATTTAGTTTAAGGAAACATTGCAAATTATCTCTTAAGAAAAATATTTTTTTCCTCATTTTTTCATTAGAATTCAATATACATATTTATATGCATCAATAGATGATTGCGTACTATTTCATCTTGTCTTAGATAAAGTCTAGATACATATGCTATTACAGTAATTATACATTCATACATTTTTGAATTTTTAAAGAGTTTTTATTGGAAAATGTTATATGCATCAATAGTACTATCATTAATTTACCTCAAGGTTCATCTAAGGTGTGCGATAGTTTTGAAGAATTTGCGTAATTAAAGATAAAAAAGCAATGCTCACGTACAATAAATGACAAACCAATAAGCACATAAAGACAATGGTGAAAACTACACAGCTCTAGGCTTTTTGATAATGAGCCAAACTAAGGTTACAAAACCCCCAAATTTGCTCGTTATTAGCTGAAAACGTTATTTATATAAATGAATAATGCGTGAATGTTGTCAAACAAAATATGGTTTTCTTTTCCGACCACCCATAAAGAAGTGATATATACTTTTTTACTTTTTGTTCTAGTAATACTTGACAATAGACTAACAACCACGATAAATTTAAAATCTGTTCATAAATGTGTGTGTGCTCCCATATTTTCCCGATCTTTGAGACTTGATTGGATTTCGATTCTGAAAACATTGTACATCATTCCTTATTCAACAAGCACGTCGTAAAATATCTGATGTTGTTGGACTTTTTTTTATCGATAGTATACAACTTCTAAAATCATTCAAACATTAAACTTTTTAAATCAAGAAATGAAATAGACAAGAATTCCGTCCTTCTCCAATAATTTTCAAGTTAGTTAATAAGTTTACAAAGCATATGATACCATCATCTGAGTTTCTTAACAGCAAGAACTACATACATAAGTGTACATATTAAAACTGAGTTGTATAAAAAACAATCCCACAACAACAGGCAAGACTCACCAGCAGTACTGCTCGCTTCGTAGCCGCTTATGTCCAATTCATAGTTTATTGTTACGTCTCCAATGTAGAATTTAGTGTATTTAGCCCATACCGCATTTCCTTCAAAATCTTCCAAATCTACTCGTAGTTGATAATCACCACTTGAAACTATTTTGTGAATTTTTGCATTTCCTGTAACATTACATATCACCTTATAAATATGCTTCTTAGCCATATTCCCTTCCTCTATTTCTCCATTGTGTTATCCTCGAATGCGCCCTATCCACGAACTTGCTATTAGTGGAACAGGAACACTTTATCATAGCAGAATATCTGAGTTCACCGCTAATTTTGTATAAAGGGGTTACTTGTTATGCTTTATTTCTCTGTGTTGTATCTGTGCTATTTTATTTTCCAGTGTCTTTGTTGTTCTGTCGGACTTACGTCTCGGGCTGATATGGGGGTCTCGGGATAATACCATGGCGATATGGAAAAGGCCATGTATCAATGTGTATATATATCAAATGAAAGACGAAAGACACCAAAGGGACACTCAAACTCATATGTCAAAAACTAACTGAAAATTAGAAATTTATGTTTGTTTACACATATGTTGAATAGTTTGGACACACTATCATTCTTCATATTCATGAATATGAACAAAGAGAAAACTGCAAATGTTTCGTGTAAAGATCAAACAAATAAGTTTGTGTAATATCTAAACACATCAAAAATATAAAAAATAACAAAGAAGCCGGCGCAATCATTGGTAAATAACAGCAAGTTCTATCGTCCATTATTATTATATTATCTATCTTTCTTGGTCTTTTTATTTACATTTCAATTCAAAGGTATGGTATCATCATATTGGAGGTTATTTGAAATATATATAAAACATATACCTAGCCAAAACTCATGTGTAAGATTCCCAAATCCGTCCTCATAAGCGGTCCATCCTCTGTAAAAGTCTGTACTACCGTCTAATCTCCTTTGGATCACCTGGGAAATGGTTTATGGTGAGTGTAATTAAAACTTGTAAAACAATATACATGAATGGAAACTCATATGTTCTGTATACAGTAGTTGAATGATGACAGTCAACGATCATTTGAAAGCTTTCCTGCTTTACCTAGACACACGAGTAGCAAATAAATTTTTTTTTATCGTGTCACAATTAAGTTCAATGTGAAAAATATTTCATGTTAAAGACTATCACATTATATACTAGGAGAGCATTGGTGAGTTCACATTATATGATAGGAAAGCATTGGTAACTTCACATTATGTACTAACAAAAAAATTGGTGATGTTGTGAGCAGACCAACAGCATGGAAAGAATATGACTTATATGGCGTGTCATTTTATATTTATATTTGCTTAATTTGAGATAATAAGAATCGGGGAAAAGAGGGAGTCTAAGAGTTACAAAATGTATAGCCTAAAAGGGTTTCGTCCAACATGACTATTGATTTTCATCGGTTGGGAAGAAATATAAACAATACTATACCGTATTAGATAAAGGCAATAGTAGTATACCGCTGTTCAATAGTCATAAATCGATTTAACTGAAACAAATCCGGGTCACAGACCAAAACTGAGGGAAACACATCAACTATAAGATGAAACAAAACGGAACTACAGAAACACTGAACTGCTACAAAAACAAACGCCAACATACATAGAAACGGACTATGTGATAACAACTGCCATATTCATGACTTGGTTCAGGACATTTTAAGAAAAATAGTGGGTTGAAACTGTTTTTATGGCTAACCAAACCTCTCGCTTATATGGCAATGTTAAAAATACCGCTGAAATGACATATCACGTGACAGGAATACAGTATAAATAAATGCAAGAACATTCAGGACAGAGAAATACACAAATAAATAATATAATAGTACATGTCAACATGTAAACCACAGAATAACAACGACCACCTAAACTTAATTTACGACAGAACACAAATACAGCACAATAGAATAATGAACTGTGCGTCACACGAATGTATCAACGTCACAAAAAGCGACGTCACAGGTAAATTTCTAAAAATAGAATATAAAATTGGGATTAGGTTTGTAATGGTGTTATTTGATGTATTTTCTAACCATGTTGGTTTTTCTTCTAAATCTAACTTTGTAAAAACAAATAAATCCTGTGCATATAGTTGCTTTAAACTAAAAATCATATAAATGATGAACTAGGTGATTAATATCTTTACTTTTACATACATATAGAAAATAAAAATAGAATTAAAACCACAAACGATAAGACATAAAACAACATCCAACCAGAATTACAAATGAAACATCATAACTAAATACATGAATGTTGGATGTACAAATACCGAGACACGTCTAATAGCAATGCGAATTTACACTCAGCAAAACAGTCATATTCGGGAATAGGTCACGTTCGGTACTTAGAAGACCAGAAGACGTAGATGGTAAACCACAATCTAAGACTAGGTAAAATTGTCGTAAGTTAGTTTAAACACAGACAAATCGTTTAGATCAACCAATTCGTGATGGTGTCCATAACATTTACGGAGTGTCATTTTTAATCTTTCCTCCTCATAACTTTGTTTGAGCACACTCATGTATATGAAGTCCGTACAGTGTGAACATGCACGAGCATAACGTATCAACTGAGATATGTAAACACCATAAAGAGTGTTCGCGGTTACTTTAATCAAGACTGTAGTAAACCGGTGATACTGTAGCCCAGTCAATCTTATTTCATGCACATTTGACACATTATTAAAACGAGGATATTTATTTTTAACCCAAAATTTGGATAATTATTTATTGTTTCGCCTTTAAAGATTTATTTATATATTATTTTTTCATCGCGAGCTGGATTTATTAATTTGTCGTCCAATAAAAATACACAAACACGTTTATTTCCTTTTACTTGTTTCAGCATTTCTCACGTAATGACTGTATGTTAGCGTTTATAGTGAATTGTAATACTTTTGACTTTTCAGATTGAGCATAAGGATAGACGATAATTATATAAGCAGAAACAACATCATTTGATATTCTACTTGATAAAGGAAAAAATGAGATTTTTTAATCAATGACAAATATTTCATTGAAAAATAAAGATATATCCTTCGCCTTTCCTTTATAATGGGAATAAAGCATGCGCGATTTTTTTAATAGAACGTTAGAAGATTCTTGGGCAATGCATCGACGTATAAGGGACACTAACCCCGCACAACTTCCCGATAATTTCGGTATCATGGCCAGTCAGTGGCAATATGATCACACAGATCAAAAAGAAATTGTACCAACTACCGATAAATGGTGTTTTGATATCATCAAGCATATGGCTATTTTTTTTTCTTTTAACCAATTGAAATTTATCAATTAAAGGATAAAAAATAAAATGAGATATGTATTGAATTCTATGCTTCTGAGTTTTATGAATTAAAAAAAGCAAGTTTGTTCATATGTCGTTATAATTTTTTATTCTAAATTTGAATTTACGCCTATTCCATTATAATGTAATATAGCCTTTTTACCCTGCAATTCACTTCTTCATTTCCACGACTTATAGGATTATTATTATCATTACCATTATTATTTTTATTATTATTATTATTATTATTATTATTATTATTATTATTCAGATGTTTGTTTACAGAGAGCGATTTGACATTGGCACTATATCAATGGGAACAATATTAATCTGTAAATTATATATGTCAAATGAAAATAAGAAATTCCGTGATTAAAAAACTACAGTTAAACATGTTAAAGACAAATTTATCTAATCCGAAATAGAGCTTTCTTACATTTTGACGAAAGGTACGAACGAATGTTAAGGGAGCATGTATTACATTTCTATGATAATACCGAGAGTCTATGTTTTATCCGGTAAAACAGCATTCTTTTCTGAATCAAACGAGTTACGTATCTTTAAAAATTTAAGTATATCGCAAATAAAACACGCTTTTAATATCTGGAAATAAAGAAAACTAAATTCAAATACACTTACGTCCGATACGTTACTTATGTTAACCTGGATTACACATTTGCGCGGGAATCGTTTAAGCATGCATTTCACCATTAAAATTTAAAGAAATCATTGAAGTACGATACTCTAAATTTAATGACAAGATTCACAATTATTTTTATTTTTATGAGTATGCTATCATCAAATTGTCAACGTGGATCATCGAGATCTGCAAGACAAGGATTCTACAATGTTTCGAAAAAGTAATGTGAAATACATCTGGGAAAAAAAGATTTTGTGATGAATTTTTTTCTATGTGAAAAAAGCAATGTGACACTTGCGATCGTAGGAAACAAATGTTAAACGGAACAAAAACTATAGTCCCCCCTTCCTTGAAAGATAAATGGTCATTGCCTTAGCACCACAGATGATTTTCATGGTCTGTTTGCAACTAGTTATATTTTCAGCTAAGATCAGTTAATGCTAGATACGCAACTGATTTGGGACCATTCTTTAAACGTCGTTAATTTGTTTTAATCATCTAATATTTGTGGACCAATCAGTGGTGCATTATCACTTACAGAAGATGTTAACACGAGCGAACATGCGAAATCCAATGTCAATTCCAGCAAGGGGGTAATTAACACATACACACACACCCTCACAAACAACTTTCATTTAACTACTAGTAGTTAGATATAGGATACATGTCCACGAGACAACAGCCAACCAACAAATAGACAAATAAAGTTTAATATGAACTTTACATAGTTTACACTATATAACAAGCATTAAATGGTAAAAAAAATAAGAAAAAACAAAAAACAAGTCACACTCAAAGAAAAACGGAAAATTAAACCGTCTCTCTCTCTCTGTGACCTAGAAGTACATATAATAGACCAAGGCGAAGATCTGGAATAGGAGGTTAGGAATATGTCTGTTGAGTAGGGACACTAATTATAGATATTGTTTTGTTCATTTACATACACATTTTAACACCTAAATGTACATGATGTATATCAAGAAAATAAATGTACAATCTTGCACAATATATATTCTGTATTTAACATTAAGGATTAAATAGTATACATGCTTGGAAGATTGATGAATATTGGTCTCTTAATGTCCAGTGGCAAATATTTCACGACTGTTAAGGACGAAAACGCAATTATGCGCTGAAAAAAACGATTCCTTAGGTGAGCCTAACTTGGGTATCACCCAAGGGGAGGCGGGGAATCTCTGCAAGTTATTTAACGAGCCTCGGCACAATATATTTTGGAGGTATTTTTTTTTCAATTTTACTATTTTTTGGGGTTGCAATTTTTTGAATTAAGGAAATATTTTTTTTTTTTATATTATCTTATTTTTTTGTTTGAGGAGGCAAGCCAATTCATTTGCCTTGGTATTTTCTTAGGTTGAATAATGCAAAGTTGTAATTTTTTTAGGGGAGGGGGGGTGAGGGGAGCACAAACTTTTATTTTCAAGGGTATTTTTTTCTCCTTCTGACGAGCATGTGTTTAAATATTTTGTAGAGTTATCTCCTTCCCCCTAGTGGTATTATATTTTTACCTCTCCTACGTCCCGAAATTCCTATATCGCATGAAAATTCAAGTTGAACACGTCTCGTTGTATAGCAGTGTAATGGTCCTTGATAGGCAAACATTGGGGCGAAACGCCATCGAAATTCATTGACGCCTCGATTAAGATTATATAAATATGTCAAAATAAAGGATCCCTAAATCGAGTCTTACGTATGATTCGTCAAGCGTACGTACATTTCGTCAAATTGTAAGAAATATTCTATTAGACGGATAGAAAGATATGTTCGGTGATCAATTTCTCACGTGTTGCATTCTTGGAACTGCCCCTGAGCCAAATCAAGTGAATCGTTAACTTACTGTCCAACCACCATTATCTGTGTCCATTTCACAATAGACATCGAACTTTGCAGATGTCGTTGGATGAATTCTGTAAACCCCGGACCCACAGCGGCTTGGTATTTCAGCACAGCCATGTGGTGGATATAGAGCTTTTAAAAGGCAAAAAAATTGGTTAAGATATATTATCATTCATTAAAAATATCACAACTAAATACTATTGATTGATTGTTGTTTTCTTAACGTGCTGCGACAAATATTTCATGCATTTTCAGCACTACATTTAATGACAGATGTCACTAGTGGCGTAGAAACTGGCTACCGGAGTTCACAACTGTTTTTTTTTGGTTCGTGTAGCGCGATCTTAGTTTTGGTGTAGTATTTTGAGTACTGCTCTTTGTATGTTCGTCGACTTACGTTTTGAGCTGTTATCAACATTTGTTTTATCCCCCCCCCCCCCCTCGGTATGTTTCTCTCCTCTTTTTTTCTGTGATTTTCAGGTAAAGCACCTTAGAGTACTATTACAATTCATAAAATTTTGAGGTTTAGATAATAGGAATTAGCCAATGATATCGTGGCGGTTTACTGACTAGTCTATAATATACAATAACTATGTATGGTGCATTTGCTACCTCATCACGTTTATATATAATCTAAAGTTAGTAGAGCAATTTTACATTAAATAGTACATGAAACAACTAAAAGTCTTATACGTTTTGTTGTACTTAGAAGAATATGAAAGAAAAATAACTCAACACTTTGAATGAACGTATTGCTGTCGTGTGCACAGAATTCGGTACATGTTCATTATTTTCTCCTTTGTTTCACGCCTATGTATTGTAGAAAAAAAGAACACAGCATAGGGTTGTGCGTTCGCTACAAGATCGCATTTAATATAACATAGTTAACATACCTACAATCATACATAAATAAATGCATCAAAATTCAAAATACACAAGTCGATACGAAACTGAGGAAGTAATATAAAAGAAGTTTTTTTAGGCTGGGTGGATGGGAAATAGTATACCAAACTAACTTATGTGTCCTTTGTAACGAACGACGCGTTGGTCAAGCGCGCCTTAAATTTTCTTTATATACTGACCGCCGAAATCGTCCGTGCAGAAAGGAATTCAATGAGTGATACCTTATCTAAATTCAAATATTGAAAACCTTTATTTGAAACATAGGGCCGTAAAGAAATGTAATGAATCATGTTGGTTTTTACGGACTATCTTTTAAACTGTGAGACTAAAGAGTTTCTTTTTGCTTGTCACTTTCAGAAGTCCCTCTTTTTCAGTATACTCCTACGCCACTTTTATATATTAAGTACACTGTTCTGTCTTATTTCTGTGTGAATTTGATTAATCATTTGTTTAATCTTTCATTTATTTGTATAATTTCTCTGTGCCCTTTGTGATATGCCTATTGTTGAGAAATGTGGAAAGAGAAGAACGCTTATGTCAACATTGTTGTTATAATAAAACAGATAATAAAGAACATTTCTTGTTCAAATGAACACAAAAATGACAATTGACAATTTTAGACTCTAATGTTTACAGAAAAATTGTAAATGTCTACTCAAGTATAGATGATATTGATAAATTTGATCAATTTGGTTGTTCTCTTTCATGTCCGTCAATTATGCAGTATTCTGCTCGATTCATTACAAAGTCATGGTCACTGAGGATAATAAGCACGACAATTGCACATGTAAATATGTATATCATCATAAAGATAAGTAGATGTGGTATGATTGCCAATGAGACAACTATCCGCCAGGGTTCAAATGAATTGGATGTAAGCAATTAAAGGCAACCGTACGGCCGTCAACAATAGAAATACCCATACCGTATAGTCGGTCATGTCCTATAGTATTCTGTGATGTATTAATGTGTTATTATGGTTTATTCCATGAATGTCATTAGCCCCATATGGCTATGATTGTGCATTACATTAGAATTAAATAAATAAGAAATAAGCGCAAACTTACCTTGTTCTATACAACAAAACAAAATTTTCCATTCTCCGTAGTCCGTACATACAGCAAATGGACGTCCTACCAAAGCAAACCCTTCATTACATTTAAATTTATTTCCAGTGCCAAGATTTTTATATAAGCCAAATGTCTCTATGCTAACAGCTTTATATATATCTGGCAACAAATCATCACAGTCTGTAAAAGGTAGAAAATTGTATATATTTCTAGAACTAATTGACAGAATAAAATACTCAATGCAGTGAAGTTTGCTTCATGGAATCATTTCATGTCTTTAACTGCTGGTTTATCAACCATGTATGGACATAGTTGATTTATTCTGTTTATGACAGGTTTGCCTAGATGTTTTAGAAATCATTTGCTTACATTGTTTACAAATCATTTGCCTACATTATTTAGAAATCATTTGCCTACATTGTTTAGAAATCTTTGTATGGATATTTTCGCTTCTTTTTTTTAATACATACTGATACCCAAGGGTCAATTTCAGGTAAAGAAAAACGGCCACCTAGACTTCTCCTGTCCGGCAGTTTTAATGATTATCTGTTTTTTTTAAATTATTTTTCAAATGTCCTTTTTGTCAGAAAAAAAAACAAAACATTGCTTGATAGTCTTCAAAGTTTTAAAAGTTTTTTGACGAATTAACAAGGAAAATAACTGGGTAATGTCATCTTTTATTTATGCATGTTTATCAATATTTTGTATTTTATAAACATTATTTATAGAAATATAACCAACTTTTACATTGTATATAACTGGGTGGCCACAGAGGTCGGATTGGTTAGTTCACATTTTGACAGTCCTGAAACTAAGTATAATTTTATCTACCTATCGTTTCGTTATATTCTAAAATAAAAAGGTCACATCCTCAAATGTAAGCTATTATTAGAGTTCTACAGAGGTCTACAGATGAACGTAAATAAGTATATACGAAGCAAGAGTGAGAGAGAGAGAGTGGGATATAGAGTGTGTGTATGTTCATTCAGTTTCTCTTCTCTTGATTTTTTTAGTATAATTATTTCCGATACTTGTAAATTTGAAGCAAGTTTTGTTAATTACGCGAACAACATAGCAATAACATGAGTAGTTCCATGTTGCGATGTTGATTTTATATCTACATCCCTTGATGAAAATGTTATGATAATTCCACTATGTCCCTTGAATATATAATTCAAAATGTATTATAAATCTATCCGTAACATCCTTTAGGTCTTATGCAGACATAAGTAAGTCTGTAATATATCAGTATGTTTAATGGTTGTCGTGTATGGAATTTATTTATAAGATAATGAAACACTTTGAAAACGTCAAAAATGACTTAAATATTTTTTTTGTCATAAACTTCTAATTAGACATGAGGCATCCTTATCAAATAAAAGTATTTTATGAATGACCTGTGACGCACAGTTTATAATTCTTTTGTGGGGTCCTGGTGTACTGTCGTAAATTCATGGGAGGTGTTCGTTGTTATTCTGTAGTTTACATGTTGTAATGTACTATTATATTATTTATTTATGTATTTCTCTGTCCTGAGAGTTCTTGCGTTTATTTGTACTGTATTCCTGTCACGTAATGTTGTCATTTAGCGGTATATTTAACATTGCCATATAAGCGAGAGCTTTGGCTAGCCATAAAACCAGGTTCAACCCACCATTTTTTTCTTTAAATGTCCTGTAACCAAGTCAGGAATATGGCAGTTGTTATCTAATATTCAGTTTCTATGTATGTTGGCGTTTGTTTTTGTTGCAGTTCAGTGTTTCTGTTCTTCCATTGTTTTCCTCTGATAGTTGATGTGTTTCCCTAGGTTTTGGTTGGTGACCCGGATTTGTTTTCGCTTAATCGATTGATGATTTCTGTTGAAAACATATTTATTGGAGTATAAGAATGTGCCTTATACTTAATTTTGCCAAAACATTATGAGGTCAAATATCTTCAGGATGTAGTCATGTGAAATTTTAAAAATCTGGAAGTTAAAATTGATACTAAACATCAGAACAAAATAAGCTGAAAATATTGGTAGGCTATGGAAATCCTTTTCGAGATATTTGATTTAAAAAAAAAATGGCGCGAAAAGGCTGACTCGGACTTTTACCTTATATTTATCACATGCATTATTTGGGTCTCAAATAGTAAGAAAAAAAATCTAGAATCTTCTTAAATTTCAGTAATGACCTTTTATGAACTATTGTAGTCTTCTATGGAAAGTAATCTGAATGATAGGGGCACAATATTTGACCCTGTATCGTAGGAAAACCCAAAGGAGTCCGAACATCTGACAAAATTTCCCAAATCTGAAAAAACTACAGCCTTAACCTCTTAAAATTCACAACATCATATTGACATCATAACTGACGCTTCTGCTCTAAGTGTCCTATCAAATTAACCGATTCATATGTGATAAACATATTTTGAAGAACAGATGATGTTTTTAAAATTTTGTAAATGCGGTGCTGCATAATGGTCCTTATTTCAAAATGCACTGAAATTTATACTTACATGCAGTCATACACGTATATCCGCCATTATCATCCGTAACACATTTCTGTCCTGCTGCACAATTGTGATCTGTACAAACTCCTGCAAAAGACTGAAAAATCCAATTATAATACAATTACAATCACAATGTAATTGAATTGATATAATCCCATAGGTGAAGATTAGATATTATTTCAATTGTGAACGTCATGGCAACATGGTAACTCAAATGTAAAAGCTATAATTGTATAGAGTTTTTCTGGCGCATTGAGATATACCGCACTTATATTTATAATGGTTTCAAATTGTCTATCAGCAGTATTAGTACTAGTACTCTTGACTAGCAAACTCATGTTTTGAAATTAATCTTTTTTTTTTCAATCTGGTTTTTTATTCTTCTTTCTTTTATTTACCATTTGTCAAGTATTCCACACATTGAGATAAGTAGGAAGACTTTGGTACTAATTAAACTTTGACCTTTGAATTGTCATTCGAGTCTACTTTATGTACGTATGACCGTCGTGAAAAAAAATCGTTGTACGTCATTTACTCTTTTTGAATATGCCTCTATTAAATGAATAAATGAATCAATAAATAAATAGATAGGCGAAAATCCGTTCAATTTTTTTGCTTTTAAACATATAGAAAATATCAAAGCAGTTATGGTGCACATTTGATTGATTAAATCAATAACGATGGACACTTTGAAAGTAGAACATGTACGATTAAAAAATTTGGCAAAATGTTTAAAAAAGAATTCAACGATAAGTATGACACAATATACAAGCTTACCTTTGGCCAAGTTGATATCTTACTAAAAATGCAACCATCGTCCTCTACCAATGCTCCATCAGTTATTTCTCCAACTACGTCACAAAGATCCCAGTTCTTTCTATAGTTAATGGCAGTACATTGTGATGTTATGAAACATTCTTTGACACATTTTAGTAAAGTGATTTGTCGTATTCTACGTAAGATGTTAGTTTGCTGACTTTTTCTATGCTGTAAGTGTCCCATCAAAGTAATGTCGTATGGGTGCTGACACTCGTTATCGTTTTGGTCACAAACGTCTTCTAAGAATGCTCCAACGAAAGTTAAAACCAGCAAAATTACGGGGTAGAATGCTAACGAAAAGTCCATATCGTCATTCTTCTTTGAAAGAATTAGTTGTAATGGTTGAGAGTTTTTTCGTCAACAGTATATGGAATTTGTAACGCTAGTATACTAATGACTGGCAATAATGATTGACTATTTATATTCCGTAGATAATTCAAATTTCCGTTCTTCACCTATAGAAATTATAACTAAACCATAAAGACATTTTTTCATCAAATAAAAACAGGGATCAAGTTCGTGTGTTTCATAAATGGATGGATCATATATATGCTTAACCGTTAGTGACAAATATTACAATCAAAAGTCATGTCATTTCACCCAGAAAGGTTGTTATAAATTTGAGTAGACCAGTTTTTTCAGCATGTACCTGTTGCCATTGTAAAACAATTCTTTTGATGGTTAACAGAGCATGCGTCAATCACTTATGAACTTACGTACTTACAAACCAAGAAACTCATAGTGAAAAAGCACAGTTCATACGTTTCAATTCCATAGTTTTTATACTTCTTGAAACATTAATTTCATAGTTCAATGCTTCTTGATACTGCTTGAAACATTAATTTCACATTTTAATGCTTCCTGACTCAAAGCATAAAATTATGAATATAGTGTCCCATTAAAAAAACCAATGTGTTAAGTGGAAACATGTGAAAATGATAACTTTCAAATTTATTGTAAAATCCGATAAGGACATTCCAATTTAGTAAAACAAAGTATTTTCTATAAAGCCAAAAATATGGCATCAGCAACATCATTGAGGGGGATGAAATGTATTTTGGGATGTAGTATATAGGAGGTAAACAGGTGAAATGTGGGATATAGAGGGTAAAAAATGGAATCTGGGACTTTATTTTCCTCGGACGTTACTGAATCAAATATAATATCACTTGACAGAATTAATTTTTAGGAAGTCCAGATAGAAAAAGAATGGCGAACGATACCAAAGGGACATTCATGTGATATCCATGACTCTGAAAGAGAAGCACGATGCTATCAAACCCATAGAAGTCATATTTATTCAAATTCATTTCCTTGATTTATCATGTTAACAAAATGCTGTAATTGACCGATCGTAAATATTTGTACTAACAATGTAAGCTGTTGTTTGATAATAATGATAAATGTAATGACGTCACCCTGTTGATATTAATACAGCTGGTCGCTTGGTCCAATACAGCAAAAAATCTGTATTGATCCAGTTACAAACGCTTTACAAACAATTGACGTATTTTGATGCACAAGAACTTGTTTTTATCATATTTATAGACTTATTATGACATGAAAAGTTTATATTTTGTTGCGATTCGAAACGGAAATATTCCACCACAACTATTCCAAGTTTAACTTGGGATTAATATCCTTGCTTCATTTCCGTACATCAAATAAATCAAAACACAGACGATGAAAATATACCTGGATACCTGGATCTGTGTGACGATCTTAGTCACACGACTTCATTAGTCGCCTCGCGTTAATTAATTCATGTTTATTTATGATGATTAAACTAAACATGTGCCAAATACATTTATGTAAAAGAAAAATATATTTTTTTCCGTCTCTCAGATTGTTTGTCTTTTTTTATTTTTTCATTCATTGCTTCATCCTTGCTGGCAAATCTTGATGGTCCACGTTGACATTTTGATGATGGCATATTCATTAAAATATAAAAATAATTATGAATTGTTTCGTTAGATTTAGAGTATCATACTTTAAGGGGTTCATTTTAAAATGTTTATGGTTTAATCATTTAAAAAGCACGCATGAACAATTCCCGCGCAAATGTGTGTAATCGTGGGTAACATAATCAACGTATTGGACGTAAGTGTATTTTAAAATATTTTTCTTTACTTTCTATTTGCGATATGCTTATATTTTTAAAGATACTTTGGATTTGGAAGAGAATGCGGTTTTAACGGATAAAACATAGACTCTCAGTGCTATCGTAATACATGCTCCCTTTGCGTTCGTTCGTACCTTTCGTCAAAATGTAAGAAAGCTATATTGTGCATTCTTTATGAAGAAGACAAATATCAAATTGGCTTATTGTAATAAGCTTAGTATAAAGAATCCATTATATCTATATTTTAGTATATAATATTACGGAAAGTGCCTTAACGACTGAAATGACTTCCTTTAATCATTTTGTCCATTATAAAGGGAGAAATTTAATATATATGGTAAAAGTCCGATATATTCTTCCATATTTCTTCATATGTGGTCTTAATAAAATTATTTGCATTAGCATTGATTAATTAATTGTATTCGACATCTCATCAATATTGAAAAAAAAAAGCATCGTGACTGAGAAAAGATAAGTTCAAAATGATATGATTGCATGTACCTGTTTAACGGCAAGTTAAGTAGTTTAATATAATGATAAGAATCATTTGATAAAAGTGTTATGAACTGGCTGTTTTCAGTATTGGCTCTTGTACCGGAGATTAAGATGGTTTTGCGAATTCATTGATGTTTATAGATACATTTTATTTTGATTCCAATGAAGTTCCGAATACTTTAAACCAACTTATCTTGACGTATTTATATAAGGACCACCTAAATTTGACATAATCGACATTTTATATTCGAATTATTTTTCTACTTAAAACTTCTCGCCGAAAATAGTTAGTTTACAGCATGATATATGCTTTATGTTTCCAAAGAAAGGTTACTTCGCATTTTCATATATTTTTTTAGGGAAGGTAACAACATTTTATGTTTTTTTTTAGATTGTGTCCGGTAATTGATGGCATCCATTGTGTACATTTTTATGCGTCGTATTATTAGTTACATGGTGTGTTAGTGACCTAATACGATATATATGGGGTCTGTAAATTCCATATGGGGTGAGAGCGAAGCTCTAATCCCCGTATGGAATTTACTGACCCCATATATATCGTATTAGGTCACTAGCACACCGTGTAACGAATTTATCTTACCGACTATCTTCAAATGTGGTATTTAGACTAGCGGCCAATCAAAGTGATTAAGTCTTCAATACTTAGTATTAAGAACCTACTTCCATTTGTCTATACAAAACAAATGCCACCAATAACAACTTGTTAGCTTTAAATTTGTTTTATGAATTTATTTCAATCGTTCATTTTCAATTTCTTCGTCTGATGAAACCTTTCAGATTTCTTTTTTGTTTTGAAAGGGAAGTAACTCCTTACTAACCCCATATGGTAACTAACCCCATATTTTTTAGGACACCCTATATCAAATATATGTAGTCACCACGTGTAGTCCTTTAAACAATCACATCCCCAGAAATCTATAGGAGGTAAGATAAAAATGCTTACACTCTTTGTACTGCTTCTGTACGTTTAGTGAACGAAAGCGCTGCCTGCTTTAATCAACTGCTTTATTATCACTCAAGATGAACAAAACATTTATTCAATTCTTAGATTACAAGTAAAATAATTTAATATCACATTAAGATATATTCGATTATATTGTTTTCACTACGACAGATTTACAAAATTCGATATTTCTTGACAACGGTTATCATACACTATGAATGCTTCTAACAGCATTACCTGTCAAATGTACGCCACCATTAGTATCACAAAGATGACAAAGAACAAAGACCTACTGTAAATTATCAAGGAAGAAAGAACTGTACAGTTCTGAGACAGGTCTATGAATGTACCTATCAAAAATGTGTTTTTCATAACCATGTGATAACGTCAGGTGATCACATTTTCTTTATCATTAGTCTTGTTGATTTTAGAGAATAATAATGTCCTTTCCACTCATACCATATGACCCCATCAGCACGAGAAGACTTTATCCCAGATAAGTAAACTCCATTTAGATTAGAACTGTGACATCTTTGGTACCACCAAGCTCCTTCATAAATAACTGCACAATTTTGAAGATGTATGTCATTATCTCTGTCATACGTAGAAAACATATATCCGTTATGGTATGTGAGGCTGTCTCCTAAATAGAAACAAAGATTTATGAAAGTTCCAACTATGTACTGGCTTCCGAAGCTACACAAATCACCTTACAAATATAGATTCATTTCGTCTTCAAGTCATTGTTCCACTACTAAATTGTCTGTTCTACTTACTAGTACACTTGGTACAATCATAAACCTGATACTAAATTGTTCAAATAAGGCCTTTGAAAATAGTGGAATTAACTACTTTTGGAGTGTCAAAAACTCGTTGGAAGTACTCGATAAATTGCATGCATATATTGGTGATTTTGAATCTGTTCAAAGTTTTGATTTGTCTACCCTATATACCACTTTGCCTCATATTCTTATTAAGAAAAAATTCACACACCTAATTAAATGGACATTTAAAAAGTCGGAATGCGAATACGTATGTTCAAACTCTTTTAGGTAATTTTTTAGTAGCAACAAACAAAAGAGCTATGTCAATTGGACATGCTTTGATACTATATCTGCCCTTGAATTTTTACTTGATAACATTTTTGTTCGCTTTGGAGATTCCGTATATAGTCAAGTTATCGGAATTCCAATGGGGACTAACTGTGCACCACTTATATCGGATATGTTCCTTATGTCGTAACTACAATACCCTTCCCTTTTCACGAATGTTTAGAATTAGACTATTTACCGGATTTGTAATAACATAAGCAACACGACGGGTGCCACATGTGGAGCAGGATCTGCTTACCCTTCCGGAGCACCTGAGATCACCCCAAGTTTTTGGTGGGGTTCGTGTTGCTTAGTCTTTAGTTTTCTATGTTGTGTCATCTGTACTATTGTTTGTCTGTTTGTCTTTTTATTTTTGGCCATGGCGTTGTCAGTTTGTTTTCGATCTATGAATTTGACTGTCCCTCTGGTATGTTTCGTCCCTCTTTTATTGCGGACCTGTTTTTATATTGTTATGAGTTACAATTCATGACTAAAATTAGCAAAGACCCATCGAAACAACATCTGATACAAAAATTTAACAATACTTTTAGATATTTGGATGATATATTGGCTCTCAATAATGACGACTTCAGTATGTATACTAAAGAAATTTATCCTGTTGAACTTACTTTAAATAAAGCTAATACTAACAATGACCACTGTCCTTTCCTCGATCTGATATCTATATCATTAACGGGAAGCTTAATACAAAAATTTATGATAAAAGAGATGATTTTTCATTTCCTATCGTTAATTATCCATTTTTAGATGGTGACGTTCCATTGTCACCATCTAATGGTGTATATATATCTCAACTTGTACGATTCGCTCGTGTAAGTAACAACATATTAGATTTTAGCGAGAGAAATTTATGTATTACTGAAAAGTTATTACACCAGGGTTTTCGATATCATAAACTAGTCAAAACATTTACTAAATTTGATCATCGGTATAAGGACATCAGGGGCGGATCCAGGATTTTGGAAAGGGGGGGCGTAATATTTAAAGACCTTTTTTGGGGCTAAAAAACATAAAATAAGTGTAAAATGCACATTTTTAACGGTTCCTGACGTGGGGCATGTATATTTTATAGTTAAAGTGTAAGCTAGGGTTAGACATTTTTGATGCCGCATTCTCCCCATTAATTGTCTATTATAAAATGACTGAATGGATCCAAAGCTATGGACAACTAATATATTTGATGTGGGATTTGTCAGTAAAAAATGGAGATGGAAAATTCTCGTTTGTTGTATGGTTAGTTAGCATAACCTCACAGATTTCTTTTTGTAAACATGTATGATGATATACGGCTATTCAATGAAGTTTATAATACGACCGACACGAACAAAGACAAACAAGCATTTTTATCCAAATGTTTGGTTGAAATGTTTCACCCAACAAGGGAAGTGAGGGGTCCCAAATCAACCAAAGGCTACGAATGAGTCTGAAAATCAAATGACAACGAAGTTGTGAATGACGGTCGACAAATGGAGACATAAAGGCCACACCCAGCAGGCAGGTTGCAGTTGGACCTTGAAAAAAGTATTCAGTATATCAGTTCGGCGAAACAGACATTTCGGTCAGATATGGGATTTACATGCAAACCCCCAAAAAAATTTACGCCCGTTTTTTTATTCACCATGTTCATTGAATGCTGAATAATTCTGTTGGATTTTTTTTTCTGATAGCAAAAAAGGGGACACGAGAATTGTTTTCAATACAGATACGGCCAGAATTTTTGTTTAAGGCAAAAATCAGGGTCAGAATTTTTTCTCTAAAATATCTCGGACTGCCCTATCAAATCAAATGGTCCGTACCTTAGACTTCAAATCTATCTAGAGCTTACTGACTGGGGATCACTATTCAGCAATGTTATTAATTGGCTGGGGTTAAACATATTTTCGTAGGTAAATAATATTGCTGTGGAACTTTTTTTTTTCTTGAGAGTGTAATAGAGTATTATTTTCTGTTGAGTGGAATTGTGAAATAGAAGTCAATACGTGGTTCTTGTTCAATCCTTTGTCGCTTTGAAAGAGTCATGCTTGTCATTCTCCGCCGTAAGCAATGTATTACTGTAATTTGAATTTCAAAATGACTGAGTGACGTTTTTTTCGACGTACTGATCAACTCCACCGTAGCGAATCACATGACTTTGACATAATCAATAATATATTACAGTAAATACGAGCGAAAAATATCTTTATAAGTAAAGAATTGTCGCATAAAAATTAAATACACGGCCGGGTAATGGCAAAGTTCACGAAGTCTAGTCTGATTAATCATTTTACAAAAAAAAAAAAAAAAAAAGTTCAAGCAAAGGGGGGGGGGGGGGGGCGTACACCCTCTACGCCCCCCCTCTGGATCCGCCACTGGACATCATTCGTAAATATAACTCAACATGCAGACATCTTATACGTTCAGGTATTTCACATCCAATCTTTTATGGTAATATTCTTTACAAAGCACAAAAATGTCAGTATTCACCTCAAAAGCTTAAAAAACCTTTAAATAGACTTATTAAGAAGGGATATAGTTACGATACTGTTGTCAGGTCATTAAAGATTGCATATTTTGGCTTTAATATTGATTCACTTATAGGGTCTTTGCATCGGAATTAAACATATTTATTCTAAAACCAGTTGTTGGCATGACACGGGTTATGTTCTTCTCATATATTTTATGATGGTATAATACTAAACCCCTAACAGGAAGGATTGTGCCTGATATTCATATGATGAAGACATAATCTTTCAATCAGTTTAATTGAGGTCTGGAGCTGGCATGTCAGTAACTGCTAGTAGTCTGTTGTTATTTATGTATCATTGTCATTTTGTTTATTTTCTTTTGTTTCCAATTCTGACATCGGACTCGGACTTCTCTTGAACTGAGTTTTACTGTGCGTACTGTTGTACGTTTGTTTTTTCTACATTGGCTAGAGGTATAGGGGGAGGGTTGAGATCTCAAAAAACATGTTTAACCCGCCGCATTTTTGCGCCTGTCCCAAGTCAGGAGCCTCTGGCCTTTGTTAGTCTTGTATCATTTTTAATTTTAGTTTCTTGTATATAATTTGGAGTTTAGTATGACGTCCATTATCACTGAACTAGTATACATATTTGTTTAGGGGCCAGCTGAAGGACGCCTCCGGGTGCAGGAGTTTCTTGCTGCATTGAAGACCCATTGGTGGCCTTCGGCTGTTATCTGCTCTATGGTCTGGTTGTTGTCTCTTTGACACATTCCCCATTTCCATTCTCAATTTTATGTTATTTCAGCATGTTTCTGTTCCATATTCCTATGATCGAATCTTTTTTTACGGAATGTGATACAATAATTTTGCATATTGAATGGGAATGGATATACAGAAAATTAGGTCAGTACTGATATCACAATTATAGTTAACAATGACAGCAACGAAATGGTATGTAAAAGTTTTTCAATTAAAAGGTCGATAGCGTGTATTAATTCATGGGAATTGAAAATGTATTATATCGTGTTTCAAAAAAAACCATCTGAATGAAGATCATCACATGAAATGTTAAGTTTAGCCACTTCTTTCAACATAAGCTTACACAGTTGTATTGCTTGTTACTGTTTAAAAGATATAAGGGTTATATGAATGGGGTTAACAGAATAGATAATTATTTGCTAAACATTGAAATACGGATGGATTCAGTCTAAGATTATGCCAGGCAATTGGCTGAAGCGAAGAAAAATGTTAAATATTTCGTTTTAGTGTGTCATAAAGCTATTATTTTCAAACTTCTGCTAAAAAAGGGGACATAATAACACAATTTGTTGACTTTTTTGTATTCATTTTCACAAGAGAAGCCATCTTCAAAAAATATCTTTTCAACATAAACTCACAGTTTATAGGACTAAATAAAGCACGAACTTGAGGAGAATTGAGGATTCAAAATTCAGAAAGGTTTTTCCAAATACAGCTAAGATAATCTTTTTCTCTGGTAGAAAATCCTTAGTATTTAAAAGAATTCAAAGTTTTGTAAACAGTTGATTTATAATTATTACCATATCAACATGATCAATGATAATTCATCTCAAATTTTTGATTTTCTGAAATACAAGACTCAAATGTGCACATTTAAAAATAATGACCTATCTATCGGAGGATAAGAAAAAGAAAGAAAGTAATTGTGAGGTTCGTGGTTGTTATTCAACAACCTCATGACAAAGATATAATAGAAACTATTTTTTCACAGCACTTTACATTGATTTTTTCAACTTTCTACTTCGTTGGTTCAGAAAGAAGACATTTGTAAATATTTTATTGATCAGACTATTAAGTAATAAAAGCTTTTCCAAAATTAGAGAACCGCTTGGGAATAAGTGATAAGAGAGAAAACTAATTATACGAACATAAAAATATTTCATAAAAGAGTAGCGTAAATTCATATATAATTGATCAGCCTGTTTTTCATAAAAAAAGAAACGTGTAGATCAAAATATGACACATATTTATTTCAATTTTCATAAAAATGAGATTTGCATATCTACATTCAAGTCTTCATGGCTTCGTACCATTTCATTCTGTCAAAAGTATATTCTAGAAAAAATAATTGATTAAAGATCATTCTCAGTAAAGTTTTGTTCTGTTTTAAAGAATTTTTTTCATAAAAACCTGAAATGCATCCAAATTTGATGCTTAGTAACTATCTAACGTTTAAAATCAAGATTAAGCAATAGTATATGCTGGTTTGGAAGAATTTAAGCAATAAAAAAGGGATATGGGTATTCACCCACAAAAAAAAAAGGAAAGACGAACAAGCACACGAAGAGAAAAAGGTGTAAACTATAGAGCTCTAGCATTAAAATTGTAAGTGATAAGTCGATTTTTATACAGTTTTCTTATTATCAAACGCGAATTTCAAATATTGATTGTTTGTTGAAAAGATCCTGTTTTTACACCAGAGGATGATTTAAGTCTGTATGACGACAACTTTGTATACTCTTTCAGAAACAGAGGTCCGTTTGACTATGGATGCATAAATACATGAACCAACATTTTAAATATTATGCTCGTGTTCAGAGCGTTGCGTGTTCTTAGAATTTGTACTTTAAGACTGAATAACAAAAACATTTGAAGTTCAATGGGTGACCTTTCGAATGGTAAAATGTTGACCCAACTAAATATGCTCTTGTTTAAAGTGGCATTCAAACATTTCTGTTTTTCTTCACCAATAGTGAACCAATAAAAAAGGGCTATATATTTTTTCCTTTCTGTTCTTACAATATGTGCAGGATCAACCACGGATAAATAAAATTATGTTCGAGTGCATGCATTTTTGCATTATCCCATACTCCGTCTTAGAACCTCGTTTGAATATCGATTCAAAAACACTGTAAGGCATTCCTTCTATATATATATAATAAGCGCGTTCTGAAAGTGTTTGATGTACGGTTATTGAATTTAAGTTATCGGTAGTATACAGTTTCTAAAACTTGGTTAACAATTAATCTTTCTAAAATAAAAAAGTTCCCTTATAAACTAGTTTCCAAAAAATCTGTTATCATCAAATAATATAAAAATAGGGAAAGGTGGTATGTTTGCAAAATGATACAAGTACCGATCAAAGTCAAAATGACGTGGATGAATTTTCCTTTACCCGTAAGAACTAGATACGTAAGTATACAGATGGAAACAATTCATAACAACAGGTAAGACTCACCTGCAGTACTGGACGCTATGTAGCCGCTTATTTCCAATCTATAGTTGGTTGTTGCGTCTCCGATGTAGAATTTAGTATATTTAGCCCACGCAGTATTTCCCTCAAAATCCCCCAAATCTATCCGTAGTTGATAATCACCAGTTGAGACTATTTTATGAATGTTTGCATTTCCTGTAACAGTATATAGTACTTTAAAATTTCACTTGATATTTTACGGCTAAAACAGGTATGTTGTTACATAAGAACAAGTAAACTCACTTTGTTCCTCTTGTCATAACCACAATTCCCTCCTCCTTTTTTCCTCAACCATGGCAACAATGAATGAGCCGTATCACTGACATTTGACTTGCCACTAGCGGAGCAGGAGTTGTTTATACTACCACAGCACCTAAGTTCACCATAACCTTATATTTTTGCATTTACTCAAACGTATGTCTGCGTTGTTCTATCCTATAACAGCAGACATTGTTTTTATTTCAAACTTAAATTTTATATTTGGTTAGAGTATTTACATTTACTGAGTGTTTCTAAATTTGGCAATGTCATGAGGTTAGACAAGAGAAATTTAACAATCAGCTAATCACCGGATATGTTTTATCAATTGATTTTTTTCAGTAGTATTACGACGGGTGTCACTAATGTAGCATGTACTGCTGGATTTTCCGCGGTACCTGAGACAACTTTCCGATTGTTGGTGAGGTTTGTCTTGCTTAATCTTTTTCTTGTAGTATTCTGTATTTATTGTAGGATTGTATTTGGCGTTTTGCCTTTTTCTTTTGGACATGGTATTGTCTTTTTTCGATTAATGGTTTTTGATTACTTATTGTGTCTTCTCCATTATTCCCACAATCTCAATGGTACTTTGTATTCAACAAAGATAAAGAAAAATAACACTAGTGAGTAGTGAATCCATGTGAACACATTATTTTTACCTACGAGTATCAGCTTTGATCACAACAAATCAGTTACAATAAAAGCATAAAAAAATAACATAGAACAAATATATGTTTTTGCCAGGATAATGCGCAAAAGTAATGCAACTTTCTTTACATATCAAATTAGGAATCTATATGTGTTGAATATTTTGGCAAATATATTATTTTATGAACATAAGCATGATGAACAGAGAGATAACTAAAATAATTCAAAATATGTATCTAGACAGGACAACGACAACGACAAATAAAAATAAATGACTAGCTATCTCGTCCTTTTTAATTTCATTTTCTATTTGTATTGGTTAATTATTTATTTTCCTATTTATAAATATTCTTTGTTAGTTTTGTAGATCATCAAAAATATAAATAAAACATATACCCAGCCAAAACTCATGTGTAAGATTCCCAAAACCGTGTTCATAAGCGGCCCATCCTTTGTAAAAGTTTGTACTGCCGTCTAATCTTCTTTGGATTACCTTTGAAATGTAACATGTTGAGTGTACAATTTACAAAAGTTTTTTATAAAATGAAACTGATATTCTTTTTACAGTAGTTAAATGATAATAATCAACGGTCGTTTTACAGCCTGTATTTGTGTACACAGACATACAGCTAGCAACTTCATCGTGTCATAATATTTATCTTACCTCCTATACATTTCTAGGAATATCATGGGTTAAAAGCGACCGCGGAGACCGTGTATATTTCATATGGGGTTACTAGGCGTGGTTTATCTTAATATACAATTAGTAATGGTGTTACGTCCCTTTATAAAAACAAACACGGAGTTGAGGAAAAATCTGAATTCCCATATGGAATTTACTGATCCCATATATATCATATTAGGTCACTAGCTATATATGTTGGGTCAGTAAAGTCACATATAGAATTTACTGACCCCATATATATCGTATTAGGTCACTAGCACACAGTGTAACTAATGATTTAGGTTTAATGTGTTAACTATTTCATGCTGGAGACTATCAGATTTTATGATGCATTGATAACTTTAAAATCAGACCAACAAAAGAAAAAAAAATTTTAGTTATTTTATCCGCCATTTTTATCGGTAAAGAAAAACAGATTTCTATAGTTTTCTTGCGGATAACTCATGAACAGCGACTTCCAGTATCATCAGATAAACGTTTTTCATCAACATCATATACTGTAATACTTAACAATAAACCGTTAACATTTGACAAAGGACACCCACTGACAAGGTTCATTGGTTTGGACAGGCCCACGAGTATGTGACGAGGTTAAAGTACTTTTTTTTAAACTGAACATCTCACCCTTTTTAATTACTATCAGTGGAACAAATCGTCCACAAAAGAATACACAATAAAAATCAGTACAGAAAAGCACTTAACATCACAAAAGAGAAAATTATCAAATGACAAAATAGTTTACGTATTATAGAATGTTCATGGTTACTTTTAGCAAGCCAGTAGTAAACCAATGATATTTTTATATCTAATTGAATGCTTTTTCTAATATCATCACACCTGACCTTTTAATATTCTTTCCTTCTTGCCTCTGTGAATGTAGCGATAACATTTTAATTATTATCATTATTATTATTATTATTATTATTATTATTATTATTATTATTATTATTATTATTCATGTGTGTGTTTAAAGAGAGCAACTTGACATTGAAACTATATTAACGTAAACAATTATATTCGGTTGTCAAAATATAGATGAAAAATGAAAATAAGAAATTCCGCACTGTGAAATTCTGAGAGAAATAAAATTTAAAACAAACATATTCAATCCAAAATAGATAAACAGGAAAGGACTATTGTGATCCATTTCTCACGCGTTGCATTCTTAAAACTGCTCATGAGCCAAAGCCAGTGAATGATAAACTTACTGTCCAACCACTATCTTCTGTTTCCATTTCACAATAGACATCGAACTTTGCAGATGTCGTTGGATGAATTCTGTACACCCCGGATCCACAGCGGAGTGGTATATCAGCACAGTCATGTGGTGGATATAGAGCTTTTAAAAGGCGAATAAAGAAGGTTAAGATATTTTCATTTTCTTCTAAATATATCACAACAAAATACGTATTGATTGATTCGTGTTTGCTTAACAGGCTGCGACATAAACTGTTTTTTTAACATTTGATTTGTGTTGCGTTATCTTAAGTTCTTAAGTGTAGTATTTCGAAGACTGCTCTATGTATGTTGGTCGAGTTATCTATTGAGATATTATCTGTATTTCTTTGACTAATATTTAGAGCTGTTTCTGTATTTCTTTGAATTGCTACCTTGGTATTTTCCCTCCTCTTTTTTTATGTAATTTTCAAGAAAATGCCTTATCTGATTTCTAAGTTCTTTAGTCTTATAGGTTTAAATAATAGGAATTAGCACATTATAGCATGGGCGTTTACTGACTTATCTATAAACAAATACTAAGTATGGCGCATTTGCGACCTCGTCAATATAAGAAGAAGTGGTATGAAACAACGATCCACCAGAGTTCAAATAACGTGACGATAAGCAATTATGGGTCAGCGTACGGCCTTCAACAATGAGAAAAACCCACACCGTTTAGTCATCTATAAAAGGCCATGACATTAACTAGACTATATATACAAAGAGCATGTGTCGCTCACCTAGGTCTGTGTACATCTTAATCAATGGACACTCTCCAATATTGTAGACTAGAATAAGACTAAAACATCACCATCCAAAAGTAAAATTAACAACAGGAAAACATTTTTAACAGCAATTTTACAGCGAATAGCACATGGTATCAAACAGAGATCTTATACAGTTTGTTGCACTAGAAGAACTCGTGTCGTGTGAACGGAACTTGGTACATGTTCATGAATCAAAATGGCATAGTTTCATAATTGTTGGTTGTTTGTTTTATAATTTCTTTGCTTGTTTGTTTGCTTGCATATTTACTTTTAATGAAAACTACCAAAATGGTAATCAACCATAGATAGATGTCTATATAAAATATCAAATGTTAAATTGGCCAGTATTATCCCTCTCTCAATAGAGTATTTATTCGTTTACACTGTTATTCATTTGTATATTTCTATCTGGTATATGCATATAGTTTTAAAAGATATAAACTCAAATTTACCTTGTTCTATACAATTAAACAATATTCTCCATTCTCCGTAGTCCGTACATACAGCAAATGGACGTCCTACCAAAGCAAACCCTTCGTTACATTTATATTTATTTCCAGTGCCAAGATTTTTATATAAGCCAAATGTCTCTATGCTCATAGCTTGATATATATCTGGCAACAAAGTTTCACAGTCTGTAAAAAGAAGAAAGCTGTATATATTCTATAACTAATTGACAGAATAAAATGTTTATAGCATTAAAGTATGCTTCATGGAATCAAGTCATTTCTTTTTCTAGGTCATTAACCGTTCTTGGACATATTTGATGTATTATGTTTCTGACAGGTTTGCCTACATTTTTAAGAAATCTTTAACTTGTATGAATGTTTGAATTTCCCTTTGGTATTTTCCGCTTCTTTATTGTATATATAAAAAAACACAAAGGGTCCATCTAGGGTAAAGCAATGTTGTCACCTGGACTATAGTATATCCTTTGCTTGAATGGAGCGTCCATTTTGATTTGTATTTAAGAAGCCTCGTGTAGGGAGAGTGATTTGCTCTCTGCATGTTATAGAACTAGCAACAACTCTTTGACGGGTCAGTGGGTGGTATGTCTCTGCTCCGATGGAAATATCCTGATTTTTCAGTAGCAGTCAATTATCTATAACCTAGTCATACTAATATGCACAGCATACATATCAAGTCTTGTGATATTTTTCTCGTTCTAAATATGTTCGAAATGATTGTCACTGAACGGTATGAAAACAAAAATTCATAAATCAATCTCACTTTGTGCTTTTTAAATGTAAGTGAAGGCTGATAATAATTGTTTTTCGATCTGTCATCTTTTTGTCAGAAAATGCATGGCTTAATAGTCATCATAGTTTTCAAAGTCTTTCGACGAATTTACAAGGAAAGCAACGTCATCTTTAATTTATTCATGTTTAAAAACATTTTGGACGTTGTAAAAATAATTGATAGAAGTATAAGCATATGACCAACTTAGTTATTACTAGGTGGCCTCAGGGGTCGGATATGAAGCTGAAGTTTTGGTTACCTATCATTTCATAATTTTTTATCAACAGGTTAGGTTCCTTTAATATTGGGACATTACAATTATCATAAGAGCATTCAGTTAGTCTTTTGACAAACGTATTTAAGAATATCCAAAAACAAACTCGCCCGGTCGCTCACGAGAGTGCGTGTGTGTGTCTGTACATTCCCTATATCTTAATTATAGTACCATCAATCAATGTTTCAGGTATTTATAAATCCAAACATTGTATGTTTTATAAAATTGAGTCAACAATTATAGTTTGGTTAATTACGCTAACAATATAGCAATGAAAGGAAAATTACCATGTTGTAATGTGATTTTTTTTCTGTAATGAATCATTTAGAAAGAAGGTTATAATAATGCCACGTGTCAGCATCTTGTATTTGACATTCAAATTGTATTATAAAGCTATCGCTATACATTAGTTAGTCTGCATTATATATCAGTATTTATTTATGGATTGTTGTCATACATATTTGGTTTTGATATATCAAACTTTTTGAATAATGAAAAGTTAACACACGTCTTATTCTGTTTTAATTGTTTTGTCCTTCATTTTGCACTTTTTATTTGTCCACTATTCTCTATTCTGTAACTCTCTTAAAGTGCCATTCTTAAGTTTCCTATTCATTTAAGATAAATCCATTTTCAAAAGGATTTACGAATTTGGCAATTTTGGCAAATACAGGGCTGAATAATGAATTGCCTCTATCAAACCCCTTTCAACATGAACTGAATTTAAACTTACAAGCAGCAATACACTTGAATCCTCCATTATCATCTTTAACACACTTTCTTCCTGCTGTACAATTGTGATCAACGCAAACTCCTGCAAGAGACTGAAAAAACAACAATACACAATTATGGCGAACAAAGTTTTAATTCTGGTATCTGTGATGAGTTTATCTACAACCACTGGGTCGATATAACTGCTGGTGAAGGTTTCTCCCCGAGGGTATCACCAGCCCAATAGTCAGCTCTTCTGTGTTGACACGAGTTATCATTGATATGGTCATGATTATAAATTAACAGTTTATATAACTATGAATTTTCTGAAATACTAAGGATTTTCTACACCAGGAGTAGATTTCCATAGCTTTATTTGACAAAACCTTTCGAAATTTTGGGTCCTCAATGCTTTTCAACTTTGTACTTTATTTCGCCTTTTTAACTTTTGGTTCGAGCGTCACTGATGAGTCTTTTGTAGACGAAAAGCGCGTCTGGCGTACAAATTTTAATCCTGGTATCTATGATGAGTTTATCTACTACAATGATATTTTTTAAATGTCAACTGTAATAATTTCAATGTTATATGTTTAATCTTATGTCATTTGCGAGCGGCAACTTAAAAGTTTATACATGTATAATCCCGTTTATTACATATTAGAATTATGAGTAATAAAGGTTATTTTTACCGAGTTAGTTTGTGTGAAAAATCAACATTACACTAACAAACAAAAAGTCCGAATGAAGTTTGTGATTGGGTCGTATGAATTTACACACTTTTCACTCACAAAGTAACATGAAGTCCTATCAACTCATTTTTGATTTTATTCATTCTGTGAGTGTGTCGACCGAATTAACACATCATTTATATGATTCAACATTGCATTTATTACTATAACAACTGTAGACTTAATCACGTGATACATAATTGGTACTTAGAAACTTAGAAAAGCACCTAAGATCACCCACGGGTTTTGGTGGGGTTCGTTTTGCTCAGTCTTTAGTTTTCTGTGTTGTATTTTGTGTGTTGTTGTTTGTCTTTTTATCTTTTTCGTTTTTTGCCATGGCGTTGTAAGTTTGTTTCGACTTACGAGTTTATATGTCCCTTTGGTATCTTTCGCCTCTCTTTTAGAATATATCTATGAAAATGGGTGACACAAACTAGGTCTACATGTACAACTTAAGTTTTTTTCGGTAACAGTTACTGCTAGTTTATCATTGTTTTGCTTGTTCTTCTATTTTGATACTTATTACACCGGTACTTACTACTTTTTTCTGCTCTTATTTTTATGCCATGTTTTTATATCTTTTTGTAGATTCACTGATGGAGATTAAAAGGTTGAGATCCAAGTTTAGAAAAAAAGTTCAGCACCGCCACATTTGTTCCGATTTAGGAAACTCGTCAAAGTTAAAGTTTGCTTTATTTAAATGTTCCAGTATCAGTTGATATTTATTAAGGCATATGAATTTCCTCAGTAAATTTTCTCTTTGATATTTCAACTTTACATCGCGTATAAAAAAGTAAAATATCAAAAATACAGAACTCCAATGAAAATTCAAAACGGAAGGTACCTTATCAAATGGCAAAATAAAAAGCTCAAACACATCAAACGAATGGAAAACAACTGTCATATTCCTGACTTGGTACAGGCATTTTCTTATGTAGAAAATGGTGGATTAAACCTGGTTTTATAGCTAGCTAAACCTCTCACTTGTATGACAGTCGCATGAAATTCCATGATATTGACAACAATGTGTAAACAAAACAAACAGACATAATCGGAAAAAATGTCAAAAATAGGGATACAGCAGTCAACATTGTGTTATAATCTTAATCACTTTAAAAACAAACAAATATGTCAACAAAGAAAAACAAAATGGTTTATAGACAAAGCACATAAGTAAAAATGAAAGACAAGAATACAAAAATTAACCATAGCACAATTACACAATGGAGGGATGTATAAGTACCGATTCACGCCAAAAGATTATTACCAAAAATGGACTAAACAGTAAAGGTTGATAATTTGAAAAGACAAATAAAAGAACACTATAAAACGTAATTAAGATGATAAACAACGTCAGTACCAAGAATATATACTTCAAGACCATCATGTATTATTTGTAAAGTTGATACGGAAAATTTATCAACAAGGTCTTGGTATCTTCCGATGAACTTTTTTTAGAAAAAGGACGAAACTTATATTGTAAAATCGTATGGATAGGAGCAAGAACACATTAGCAAATTTTGAAATAAGTTCAATTATTCAAGAATAATTTACTAAGAAATATATAACACCAAAAAAGAGGTCCAATGATTCAATTGCCTGGTAGGCCTATATCAATAGTCTTTCATTGAAGATAGTGTATTGAGCTCCAGATGTCCTCTGGTTGTTTTAAATTGGTCGTTAATATATATCGCAATATCCCATATGTTCATAATGGGTTCAAATGGTGTATTAGCCGGTTAAGTATTCTGACGTTTCTATGTTATAAATGTGTTTCTTTCTATGTTGTGATGTTACACTATTATTTCAGGTTAGGGTGAAGGTTGGCGCCTATTAAAACGTTTAAACCCGCTGCATTTGTTTGCGCCTGTCCTTTGTCAGGCGCCAGTTGTTAAGTGGTTGTCGTTTGTTGATGTGGTTCATAAGTGTTTCTCGTTTCTCGTTTGTTTTTTATATAGATTAGACCGTTAGTTTTCCTGTTTGAATTGCTTTACACTAGTAATTTGTGGGCCCTTTATAGCTGGCTGTTCGGTGTGA